TACCATATCCAATCAGTGGCGAACCTAGGAAGTTTTGTTTATGTCAACACATTTAGTGTTGGGGATTCGGGGGCAGTGGCCCCCGAAATTTTTTTTTTTTGTAAAGAAAGTTTAAATCAACCTTTAATATAAGGTTATAAACCCACTCATAATCTAGTTGCTTCCATAATAAGCTGCACGCATTAGTTTGACCAATCATTTACCCCTCCCCTCCCCCCTCAAAAAAAATCTTACCAATTCTCCAAAACAAATATGATAATATACTTGTGTACATCCATACATCATCATTTTATTTATAATGGTGAATAAAAAAGTCAACACTACCTACACAGAAGGCAAGAAAAATCACAGTGAAGGTCCTCATCACTAGAGATTAACTCATTTGAGAATGTCAAACCTGGCATCAATCCTTTTTTTTAAGCTAGGATAAGGCACAAAAGCTGAAAGCAAACCCCAAAAAACATGGTCGGTCGATGATGCGAGGAGAAGTACGAGAACTGAAGAAGGAAATTCTTCATCTTTATTTCAGCTTTACCTAATGAGTAAAGCCCATTTTGGATCCCTAACAAAAAACATTGTATCCACTTTAGTCCCTAATAAAAAAATTAGTATCGTGGTCCTTATAAAATTTAAAGTGGATCCATTTTAGTCCTTTTGAGGGACTAATATGAGTCTTTTTTGAATTTGTGAGGGACCACTTCAACTAAATGGGTTCACTTTGAATTTCTTAAGGACCTTGAGACTATTTTTTTTTTTGTAAGGAATGAATGTGGAGACCGTATTTTTTGTTAACGACCCAAAAGAAGTTTTACTCTTACCTAATTATCCCTTTTGTAAAAAAAAAAAAAAAAATTACATGAAAGTTCATGTCTGCACATGCAGACAGAAGAACCAAAGTAAGTCTGCCACTGTATCCAATAATGTTTGATTATGCCTTTCTGCAACACCATTTTGTTGTGGTGTGCCTAGCAAGTATACTGTGCACATATGCCATGTCTTTCGAGGAACTTTTTTAAAGGACCTGAACATTGACCTAACTCATTATATTTTCCATAATATTCACCACCTCTATTTGACCTTATAATTTTCACCTTTCCATCTGATTGCCTCTCAACTTCCTTAATGAATGTCTCTAGGACGTCTACTAATTGAGATTTTTCATTAAGCAAATAGATATAACTGTAATGTGAAAAATCATATATAAAGGTAATAAAATGTTTTTCTCCATTAAAGGCTGGAGTGTCCATTGGACCACAAATATCGGTGTATTATCTGTAAAAGTTGGGAGCTTCTTGTGGCGTCTTTCTTATTATGTTTGGTTTACTTTCCTTTAATGCATTCCACACATAACTCAAGGTCACTGAAATCTAAATTTGACAAAATTTCATTCTTCACCAATCTCATTATTCTTTCTTTAGATATATAACCCAATCTTTTATGCCACAAGAAAGCAGAATCTTCATTCTCTATGCCACGTTTAAAACCAACATTGAAAACAACATTAAGCAGTGATTCAACATAAGCATTATCGAGTTTCAATTTATATAAATCATCCATAAGAAAACTAGAACCAATAAAATCAGCATTCTTATATAAATTGAAAACACTAGATCCAAACATAAGCGTAAAACCATTGTTATCCAACATAGAAACAGAAATAAGGTTTCTAGACAATGAAGGCACATAAAGAGTGCGTAATAGGTCTAAATGATAGCTACTATCTAAGACCAGTCGATAAGTTCCTATGCCTTCAATTGAAGATTTCTTTCTATTTCCCATAAAGATAAAATGATCTTCATTTGAATTTATAGTTCGGATCGTAACGAATCCCTGCAAGTTGTTGGAAACATGCGTTATAGCACCAAAGTCAAGCCACCAAGTATTATTAGGAACTTCAACTAAATTTGATTCGAAACTTACGAAAGATTGATAATTACATTTCTTTTCGAACCAATCTATACGCTTAGGACATTGAGCTTGGTAGTGATCAGACTTCCTACAGAAGTGGCACTTAATGTCCTGTTGTTCCTTCTTTTCTTTCTCCTGGCAAACTTTCGCAGGTACTTTCCTTTTCTTAAAGTGTATTGACTTTGCTTTCAGTCCTTTGCCAGCTTTTTGACCCATGAGATTAATGGAGTGACTCGCATGATTCCTTAATCGCCCTTCTTCCTGAACAAGCATACTGGTCGATTCATTAACATTATACTTGTCCTTAATAGTGTTATAGTTAATTTGAAATGGCTCATATTCAGGAGGCAGTGAGTTCAGAACAAACTGAACCAAGGAGTCCTCAACTATAAGTCTCAAGGTCTTGACTTTTGCTGCAAGATTAATCATCCCAATAATGTGCTCTTGCATAGTTCGCAACCCATCAAACTTCATAGTCGTGAGCTGCGCCATAAGAGTACCAACAAGTGACTTGTCTGCTGAGCGAAAATGTTTTTCCATAAACTACATATATTTCGTAGCACTTTCTGTTTGTGGAATATTTGACTTAATGTTGTTGGAACCAGTCATCTTAATGAATATAAGGCTCAACCTATTACTTTGCTTCCATGCTTTATGGCATGACTTCTCTTCCTCACTGTTAGTTTCAGTAATAACAACGGGTTCATCCTCAAGGAGTGCCAAGTCAAGATCCATGAGGATAAGAATTCTCACCAATAAACACAGTAACAAATGAAGCATGAGAATTCAAGGAAACAGCTGCAACAATAATAACATACACTCATAAATAATATTGATTGCAGATCGAATATAAATTCATACAAGTATAAAATAGCACTCCTTTGGGTAGTTACTACAAGCCTCTAAACTATATGGGATATAGTTACTACTTTTATTAATTTACAATAAGTATGTGTGTTGACTAAGTCCTATTTAGTCCGTATTATACGCGTAAGTTTCTATTCTGTACGGATAGAAAATAGCAGACACTCCTTCAGCCCCAAACAAGATGTAAAATTTTGTATGATCCTCGTAAAAGTTGACTGTTATCCCACATTTGTCAATCGTCAGACACAGATTAGACATGTTTATTTTTTGTAAAGGTTAGCATACAAATATACACAAATATAAGATAAATTTAAGTAATATTGAAGTTTTCTATAACCAGTCCAGTCGCTATGACAAAAAACGTCATTCCCTCTAAGCATATCTATGATAAAAAAAATACTCATTTCGATAATAATTGTAATAATAAATATAATAAAGAACATGCAATATTTAGTTGAAATTACTAAACATTACTAAACACTAGGGTCTCTGGATGTGAAAAGTTATTGAGGGACCGAATTTTGAACCAAAGTAAAACATTTCTTACTTTAATTTTGAAATTCCTTAAGTCAGTTCATGTCAATATTTACAATTAAAAATTACATATTACTTAGATATTCATGTGATACCAAAGCAATATAAATACAATTAACATATCAATTAATTCCATAATTTTGATCCAATACTATATGCACAAACAACATGAGCAGCTAAAATAAAAACATAAAATAAAAGTGTAAAAAATTATATAAGAAAATGGTTCGCCACAACAATAATTCTTCCACGACTTAAGGAGCCGTTTGGTACGCAGATAATATTTGCTTGCCTGGGATAGTAACATCAGACATTTGGGTTTGCCATGTTTGGTACCACAAAAAGCAACATTTACCCTGGTAAAGAATTGTCCAGTATTTTGCTTTTACGTTTGAAACAGTGTACAACAACCAACAAAATTAATCCATCAAAAATATGGGATTCATTGTTCCCCGGGGAAGTGAAAGCTGAGGCGCGGAGAAGAATACCAAAATAACCTCTTTGTTTTGTATACCCGTTACTTAGTGCATGAACATGATCCCGGTAGGTGCTCACTACAGAGTTTTCTTTCTTGAGAAGCTTGATGATTTAAGATAATTCCTATTAAAAAATAAAAAGAGGCAAAAGGGGTACCAGATTGGCCATTGATTTGAGCTTCTTTTCCTTGACAACATCGAAGACAACAACAACTGGGGAACGACAGTTGTGAAGAGATTGATAGAGAGGTTGGTCAAATGGATCTGAGAGAGAGGTTGAGCAACCTTGGTTGCAGAGAAAGACATTGTATTAGAGATTGATAATGGTATCAGAGAGAGATGGGGTTTATTTTGTAATAATAAACACACACCGACAAAAGTAAAGCGGGGACCCCACGTTCCTACTACTTTTTCACAATCAACCAAACATCAACCCAGTAAACTAACTCAAATATTTCAGGTAAAATTTTGGTCAACCAAACATAATTTTATAACTTATCTGCAAAAAAATATTTCAGCCCACATTTCCGCAAAATAAGTTCCCCAGTTAAAAAAAAATTTCTCCCGTACCAAACGCCTCCTAAGAAAAATAGCGTACCGCAAAATTAAAAGAGAAAATTTTGGAGAAGGATATTATAACAACCAATTAGTGTTACTATCAATCAATTTTACCGTTAGATCGATCATGTTGATCCAACCGTTATTATATTTATTTTCGTCTTTGTATGGTTATGATTCCTCATATTTAATATTTTATATTTATTTTTATCTTTGTATGGTTATGATTTCTCATATTTAATGCTTTCACATTAAATATAGGAAATCATACAAAAATAAAAATAAATGTAACCGTTGAATAAATATGATCGATCTAATTGTGAAATTGATTAATAATAAGTAGTAACACTAATTAATTGTTACAATATCCTACCCCTAAAATTTTACACATAAATACAGATTATAAAGGGTAAAACTACGAGAATAAATTTTATTCTCAATATTACGAGGAGGGATATTCTCACTACCCAAATTTTTTACTACTAACTTACTACCTATCTAATCTCCATTAGAATTTCTCTCTCTTCAAACACTAATCAATATCAATGGTGATGTAGTGAGAATCTTTGGTAGTTAGAATATCCTCACTCCAATATTATATTTTCTTCTCAGATCCGAAAATGATAACATCCAAAAATTTCCCTTGGCGAGCTTGCAGTGAAGGCCTGAAGGGTGTTGGTTGTGGCCGTATGTATGGTGGATGACGAACTCATTGAACTCGCTACATGCTGGATTATGGTCACAGACTTAAATAACCATTAACCTTCAAATCAAATCACCATAATTTCACAGTGTGATGGATCCATCATCCCAATTTTCTGTCTTTCCTTCTTCCCAACAAAACCCTAATCCCAATAATGTTTCATTGGACCCCAATTCCGGTTCAATCCAAAACCCTAACCCTAGCTTGAATCACTACCTCTCTCTCTCTTTCACCGTTCCCAAGAAGAGGAGGCGTGGCAGGTCCCAACGCAATCCGGCGGCGTCGTTTCGTGTTCCTCTCATTCTCAATGCTTCTTTCAATGCTAACAATAACAACAACAACAACAACGATATTGCCTCTTACACCACTTCTTCTTCTTCTTCGTCTTTTACCAGAAACCCATTATCATCGTTACCTGACACCTCTGATGAGATTATTGTGATAAACAAAGAAGCCAAAACTGAAGCTTTGATTGCTCTCACTGCTGGTTTTCCTGCGGATTCACTCACAGATGAAGAAATCGAAGCTGGGGTTCTTACCGTTATTGGAGGGATTGAACAGGTGAATTACACTCTCATTAGGAACCACATTATTGCTAAATGGCGTGAGAATGTGTCCAATTGGATCACTAAGAACATGTTCATTGATTATATACCTCAACATTACCACACCCTTTTGGACTCTGCATATAATTACCTTGTCTCACATGGATATATCAATTTTGGTGTTGCTCCCCAAATTAAGGAAAAAATCCCAGCTGAACCGGGTAAAACGAGTGTGATTGTTATCGGAGCAGGCCTTGCCGGGTTGGCGGCTGCGCGGCAGCTATTGCGATTCGGGTTTAAAGTGACGATTTTGGAAGGGAGGAAACGAGCTGGGGGTAGGGTTTATACCAAGAAAATGGAGGTAGGGAATAGGGTATGTGCAGCTGCGGATTTAGGTGGGAGTGTTTTGACAGGTACACTTGGGAATCCTCTTGGGATTGTGGCGCGGCAATTAGGTGATATGCTTCATAAGGTGAGAGATAGGTGTCCACTTTATAGTCTGGATGGAAAGCCAGTTGACCCTGAAATGGATGTGAAGGTGGAATCTGCTTTTAATAGGTTACTAGACAAGGCAAGCAGGCTTAGGCAATTAATGGGGGAGGTCTCTGTAGACGTGTCCCTTGGTGCAGCATTGGAAACATTCAGGCAAGTGTGTAGAGGAGATTCAGTGAATGATGAGGAGATGAACTTGTTCAATTGGCATCTTGCGAATTTGGAGTATGCTAATGCGGGTTTGCTATCGAATCTTTCACTTGCTTTTTGGGACCAAGATGATCCATATGATATGGGAGGAGATCATTGCTTTTTGCCTGGAGGAAATGGAAAGCTGGTTCAGGCTTTGGCTGAGAACGTGACTATTTTATATGAGAAGACTGTGCATACGGTTAGGTACAGTAGTGATGGAGTGCAGGTTATTGCAGGAAGTCAGGTATTTGAAGGTGATATGGCACTGTGCACTGTTCCACTAGGTGTATTGAAGAAAGGGTCTATGAAATTTATACCGGAGTTGCCTCAAAGAAAACTTGATGGAATAAAAAGATTGGGTTTTGGTCTACTGAATAAGGTTGCTATGCTCTTTCCTCATGTTTTCTGGGAGATGGATCTTGACACATTTGGGCATCTTTCTAACGATCCAAGTCGTCGTGGGGAGTTTTTTCTGTTTTACAGTTATGCAACAGTTGCTGGTGGTCCCCTGTTGATTGCTTTAGTAGCAGGGGAAGCTGCACATAAGTTTGAGAGCATGCCCCCTACAGATGCAGTCACACGGGTTCTTCAAATTCTCAAGGGTAATCTTTATATGGAAGCTACTTCATTGATATTTTCTTTCCCGTTATAAATTAGCTAATAAAAGATAGAATGTACACCAACAAATAAATAAAATATATTAAGTAGTTTGCATGTTTTCCTCAATTCCATGTCATGTGTCTTGGGCTATAAGTTTTATTCAGAATATACGTAAATTAAGTTGTATCTTTTTTCTTCCATGCTTATCATTCTTCATGAACTTACGAACAAATACTGTTGGTGGCTTTTTGGCATTAGAAATATTGGTTTTCTATTAAGTTGCAATGCTGTATTTATTTTATATGAAACAGCTAAATTTAAGTGGTGGTTGTTTAATACTACTGAGATAGTACATTATTAATATTCTGTCATATATTTCTTTATGTTATCTTTTCAACAATAATATTTCCAAATTGTTCTTTAAAAAGATTCTGAACAAGTATTTGTTGCTGAACTTCAGTCTAATCAAACTGGTCATAAATAGCTTAATATTGATTACTATTTTATTTAGGAAATATTTATGAAGCAAAATGCTAAATCTGTGTGCAGGTATTTATGAACCAAAAGGAATCAACGTTCCTGAACCTATCCAAACTGTCTGTACTAGATGGGGTAGTGATCCCTTCTGCTTTGGTTCTTACTCTAATGTTGCAGTTGGAGCTTCAGGTGATGATTATGATATTTTAGCAGAAAGTGTGGGAGATGGTAGACTTTTCTTTGCTGGGGAGGCAACCACCAGGCGCTATCCTGCAACTATGCATGGGGCTTTTCTAAGTGGTCTAAGAGAAGCTTCAAATATGGCCCACTATGCTAATATTCGATCACTGAGGATGAAGGTTGATAGGACCCCTTCAAATGCTCATTCTTGTGCTTCCCTTCTTGCAGATTTATTTAGAGAACCTGATATAGAATTTGGGAGCTTTTCTGTCATTTTTGCTCGGAAGAATGCAGACCCCAAGTCACCAGCAATCTTGAGGGTAACATTTAGTGAGCCTAGAAAGAAGTGTCATGAAGTTGCAAAACAAGACCAACAACAATACTCAAACAAATTACTTTTTCAGCAGCTCCAGTCACATTTTAATCAGCAGCAGCAGCTTCATGTCTACACTTTACTATCAAGACAACAGGTTCTTGACCTAAGAGAGGTGAGAGGCGGTGATGAAATGAGATTGAATTACCTTTGTGAAAAACTAGGAGTGAAGCTGGTGGGAAGAAAAGGATTGGGGCTGAGTGCTGATTCTGTCATTGCTTCTATTAAAGCTGAGAGGGGCAATCGGAAACCTGTTTCAACCTCTATGGCTCTTAAACCAGGTGGGTGGTATACATGAACTTTTCTCGTTTCTTTGCTTCTCTTTCTCCTTTTTTTATGCACAGTTTCTAAAGCAATTTGAATAATGTTTTGCATAATTTATAAAAGGGGTGTCAAAGTTGAAAGCGGGCATTACGAAGCGAAAGTTAATAAGGTTTGAGCTGAAATTCTTGATTTTTATAAGTTAAATTATCTCGACTCTCAAATATCATTATTGTATTTATATAAAATTGTAACTTAATTATATTGGTTAACTCAGAAAGGCAAAAGTGGTGAAAAAAAACATTGGGTCCATACTTCATGCTAGCACGAATGTGGGGGCTGCCACCAAAGCATCAGAAGAGACTCGGGTAATAGATGAAGTGCTTCCTGAAGTGCCTGTTTCAGGTAATTGCTTTATAAAGAAAAAATATTATCATGCTCAGTGTCCCCTCTCAAAGTGTACATTCTCTGGAGCTGGATTAATTGTGTATAATATGTTTTTAAGTTCTTGTATTTTTGTATAGGTAACTAGGTAGTCATAGTTGCCTTTGTTATTAAAGGCTATTTTTTGTAAAGATAAATTAATACATTGTTGACTTTTAGGAATTGGATTTTTAGTTTGGCATGTTTTAGATGAGAGATGGATGCTGTTTTGCAAAAGATTTTGTCTGTAGTTTATTTTGTATATTTGTTGATTTTGTATATAACTAAATATATGATCAAAACTTTAACCTTAACGTTAATTTAGTTCAGAATTTTTATTTTATTGTTGTCTTTAAATTTATTTATTTTTCTTAACTTATGTTCTCATTAAATATTTTGAGATTTGCCAGGGTAAAGGCCTTATGACATCAAGCAGAATACATGTTGTTCCCCTTCTCTTATTTCCTCTGCTGGTTTGCTATATCATTAAAAGATTAGGCTAAATTAAGGAGGTTAGGTGGGGAGAGCACCCTTGCCGCTCTCATCCTCCTCCCACTGTGAGGAGTTAGTGGTAGGTTGCTTAAACGTGAGAAGTGTAACAAGTTCCATTCTCTAAAGGTTACCCTAATTTATTGCATTCTTGACACTTAATTTATCCTTTTTTCTTTTGTTAGCTGATTTGGAGGGTAACCTATCCTCCCCCACGTTGCACCTACCTTTTTCACACAATTACATTTATTTTTCTAATCACATGAATAAGCGTATCATAAGCTTCTTTACCAAAATTTAATAGAATGCTGTTGTATAGCTTAAACTTTTCAGTGTGCTTGTGTTAATCTTTTATTGTAGTTTGTTTTTTTTGTTTATTCAGTTTGTCTGTTATACTGACGGAATATATTTCTAGGGAGCAATCAAAATGACTTGTCAAATCCATAAATGGATGGCCTTCCCTTCACCTAGGAGGTGAGACATACCTACAACTCTGAAATCTGAATCTTCATAGTTTTTCTAGGATCAAATATTTCTTGTATTACATGCTATACGAAGTGAAGCCAGCAGTCCAGCACTCTGCTACTCAATGGAAATTTCAGGCATATGATTTTACTTTCTAATGGACTAACTTTTCATATTAAATTGCACAAAGGCTTAAGATGCCTTTCACCTTGTTCTCCCCGAGTGCTTTTGTCGTATCCTCTAATGTCATTCTTTGTATCCTTACTAGGATATCTACAAATTTTTATTGGAATCATAATTTTCTAATGAATTTAGAGACTTGTTTTCTAATTTTTCTCTATTTAATAATTAAATTACTAAACAGTGAAATATCCTAAATTAGGAAAATTTAATAATAATTTATTTAGAGGTTTTTTGGGATGTTACAATATCTCTTTAACATTATTTTAGTGAATTGTAATTTGTAAGAAATATATTTTGACATTGTCATGAATATGTTTTGTGATTGAATAGATCATCATAATGCAAATAAATCCAAGATCTCGATGACAATGTCAGAGGAAGTTGGCCCTTGAATGAAGCACAGGCACTTTGCTGCCTCAAAGCATCATCCAACTATTCGAGGCAATATCTCCTGCAATCATCGCAAGTCATGAATATGTTTTGTGATTGAATAGATCATCATATGCTTGCCATCCAAGTGAAGAACTTGCGAATGGGCTAACTTATAGCATTGTGATAGGTCTCATTATGCTCATATGTCCTGCAAATTGAGACTGGCCATCGTCCTTTTTAGGTTCAGTGCTACGTTTTTAGCCAGCAAACGGGTAAAAGAATATACAGTTTGTACAGGATTGTTTTAGAAAAAATATATTTTATAAAAAAAATATATTGTTTTAATTATCTATCCCATTCCATTGATTTTGACATTTTTAAAATTCCTGGTTATTTCGTACATTTAAGGGTTGACGGAGTAGTTTCCATGCAAAGAATTTTTTGGTACAAAGTTCTGGAATTCCTAGCATTCACTACACAAGGCATTTATGAAATTTGAGGCAGGCCAGCTCCTTACGCTTCTTCAAACCGAATAATGTAACCTTTAAAATGTGGTTATTTAAAGTGAATGTGGAGATAAAATTGTTTAAACGGTAAGTTTGTACAATAAACTCACGTTTGAATGAAAAGGGGAAAAAGTGCAAACAAAAAATTAAAAATTAGAACTTCCCCTTCCGGACAAAGGAAAGGGGAAAGAAAATATCAATATAAAACTTCAAAAAATTTCACTACTTTTTTTTTTTTTTAAATATTATTGTTGCTCACTCGAGCACAGGAACATATGGTCTCTATAAGAGACATAATATTGCAAAAAATTTCAGAATGGGGATGACTAAGCACCTTCAATATTCAATCTTCCAACATGTTCGATGTATGGTGCAGATCTTGCAGGGTCTGAGCAACTTCCTGCCCACATTGTTCAAGTATTGCAATTAGCGGTCCAGCAAGTTCTGCATCTCTTTTTGTTAAGAAAGAGTGCAATACCCCATTGACACTATGGCGAGCCATCTTTGTCAAAATATGCACATAAGTGTCCATAGAGGGTACAAAACTAGGTAGGACTACTACATCATACGTTCCTATATCCGTAGTAAAGATATCCTCCAAATCAATCATGGAAACCCCTGCTTTTGATCTGCTGTTTGAATCCCCACTGTATTACAAAACCGCACATAAGCTTCTATTAAAAGTTCAATAAAAAAAGATAAGTAAATTGGAAGTGTTTCCAATCAACTTTCCCTGAGACCTATCAAGTCTAATAAACCAGTGATGCAAAAAAAGAATAGTACTATAGGGCATCTTCTGACACTGATATCATTATATAAATGAGTTTGTTTCAGAAACATTCATTTAAGATTTGTATTGTCAACATCATCTTGAATGTCATTCATTCCTTTTTCTTTTGCGCTACAACAAAATCATTCACTATTAAGATTTGTATTTCGTCAAACCTTTATATTTTAACATAAAATCCCTTCATATACATCCATGCAACAAGAATCTTATAAGAACCAAAGATTCTTACTGAATGCATGGACCATTGTTAACTAAATAATAAGAAAGCCATTTCTTCCTTCTCAAAATAAAAATAATAGTCAGTACTAGTGCACAAATTCGACCATTGCTTGACTTTCTTTATAGGAACAAACATTATGGTGATTTGTGGATTTGAAAAGTATAAGATAGATACTAACATGAGTACTGCAGGAAGTTCCTAAAAAATAAAACAAACCAAGTGAAGCTTGATATAAAAAGAGATTCTTTAAAGCCGTAATAACAGATGATGGCCCGAATTAGGCCCTGAGCAACACATTTCCATTTTCAGTATACTTTTGTTAAGGTAGGTTAGATTTCCTTTATGTTATTACAATGTTCTCTTACGTTATAGTACATATCATAATACAAAAACTTAAACCAAAATATGTAAAAAGGTATTCGATGATTTACCTATCATGAACACTTGCTGCATCAGAATCAAGTAAAATGGAAGAAACCTTGGATTTGAGAGTCCTGACCAATGTATGGCACTTGATGTCTTTCCTTAAAATATATAGCAGATTTGAATTACGAGTATGTCTGGTCCAGAATTGATCTACGGCTTCGATGCTCTGCAAGAATTAATAAAAATCATAAGAGCTTTTAAAACTTGTGCATCTAAAAAAATGCATTACAACAGTTAAATGTAAAAGAATACGTTGTGTATTGATCTGTGTCAGGGAGTTACAATATATAGAGACCCTAATGGGCTTAAGTGTAAGGCCCAAACCTAATCCTAATACAGTCAGAATACAGTCAGACTATTTACGGATAAGACAGAATCCAATCATATCTAATCATATCTAATATTCTAGCACTCCCCCTCAAGCTGGTGCGTATATATTATGAGCACCAAGCTTGTTACAAATGTATTCAACCCGATGACCTCTAAGAGCTTTAGTGAAAACATCCGCTAGTTGATCAGAGGAGTTGACGAAAGCAGTCTTGATTTCTCCTGACTGAATCTTTTCTCGAATGAAGTGACAATCAATCTCTATATGTTTGGTCCTCTCATGAAAGACAGGATTAGAGGATATATGTAGCGCAGCTTGATTATCACAGATGAGTGTCATGGGTTGTTTCTGTTCACAAAGATGAAGCTCCTGAATCAACTGCTTTAACCAGACTAACTCACAGGTAGCATTTGCCATTGCACGATACTCAGCTTTTGCACTAGATCGAGCAACAACAGGTTGTTTCTTGCTCTTCCACGAAATTAAGTTTCCTCCAAAGAAGACACAATAGCCAGAAGTAGAGCGCCTGTCCGAGGGTGATCCTGCCCAATCAGCATCTGAATAACCACAAATTTCTGTATTTCCCTGATCTGAATACAACAAACCTTTTCCTGGTGCTCCTTTGATGTATCGGAGGATCCTCACAGCAGCATCCCAATGTGAATCACAAGGGGAATCAAGAAACTGACTAGCCGTACTAACAGCGAAAGAAATATCTGGCCTAGTCACAGTAAGATAGTTGAGCTTCCCAATTAGCCTCCGATAACGTCCAGGATCAGATAACGGCTCCCCCTGTCCGGGTAATAACTTGACATTAGGATCCATAGGTGTATCAACTGGTTTACTCCCCAACATACCAGTTTCTTCTAGGATATCCAAGGCATATTTCCTTTGACAGATAGAAATGCCCTGTCTGGATTGCGCCACCTCAATTCCCAAGAAGTAACGCAGCTTCCCAAGGTCCTTTGTTTGAAATGTACTAAACAAATGCTGTTTTAACTGACGAATTCCGTCTTGATCACTTCCGGTGAGAATGATGTCGTCAACATAGACTAACAAATAGATACACTTATCAGGAGATGTAATCCTATAAAACACAGAATGGTCAACTTTACTGCGGATTAAGCCAAACGCCTGAACAACAGAACTGAAGCGACTGAACCATGCTCGAGGAGACTGGTTGAGACCATATAAGGATTTCCGAAGACGACACACCTTTCCAGACTCCCCCTGAGCAACAAAACCAGGTGGTTGCTCCATGTAAACTTCTTCTTGTAAATCACCATGAAGAAAGGCATTTTTGATGTCAAGTTGAAGGAGTGGTCAGTGACGAACAGCAGCAAGGGCAAGAAAGAGGCGGACTGACGCCATCTTAGCGACCGGAGAAAATGTATCGCTATAATCAAGGCCAAAGATTTGAGTAAAACCCTTAGCAACTAAACGTGCCTTGAGACGATCAATATGGCCATCAGGTCCAACTTTCACAGTAAAAACCCAGCGACAACCAACTATAGACTTCTCTGGAGGAGCAGAAACAAGGTCCCAAGTGCCATTGGAATGAAGTGCAGTCATCTCATCAAGCATTGCTTGGCGCCACCCTGGATGAGAAAGTGCTTCACCTGTGGTCTTAAGAATAGAAATAGAAGAAAGACTAGAAACAAAGGTGAAATGAGGTGAAGAAAGACGGTCATAACTCAAAAAGGTATAAAGAGGATAAGGGTTACGAGTAGTACGTGTACCTTTTCTTTGAGCAATGGGAAGAGTCTCTGATGAAGGATCCGGAGGGGAAGAAGCAACAGCAGTGGGCGATGAGTCAGCAAGAGTCGAGTCGACAGGAGGCACAGTTTTGCGACGCTGATAGGTGAGAAGTGGACGGTCCTCAGGTATAGAAGCAATAGGTTGCTCATCTGGAATAGAAGCACCTGCAGCTGGCAAAGACAAGTCAAGAAAATGGACAGGAAGTACATGATCAACCTGTGACATCTGAGATGGGATAGAATTAAAGAGTTGTTGATCAAGAAAAGTGACATCAGCGGAAACTAAGTAACGCTTAAGGTCGGGAGAATAACAACGATAACCCTTTTGAAGACGAGAATAACCAAGAAAGATACACTGAAAGGCTTTGGATGTTAACTTATCCTTACCAGGAGTGAGATCATGAACAAAACAAGTACAACCAAAGACATGTGGAGTTAGAGGATAAAGAGGAACATCTGGAAGCAATAGATTATGAGGAATGTCATTGTGGAGCACAGATGAAGGCATGCGATTGATGAGAAAACAAGAGATGAGTACAGCATCTGCCCAGAAGTGAAGGGGAACCTGCATATGAATAAGAAGGGTACGGGCAGTTTCAATGAGATGTCTGTTTTTACGTTCAGCCACCCCATTTTGTTGTGGAGTGTGAGGACAAGTAGTTTGATGTAAAGTACCTTGTGTGGCCAAGAAATTAGAAAAATCAATAGAAACATATTCATTAGCATTATCACTACGTAGAATACGAATAGAAACACCAAATTGAGTATGGATCTCAGTAGAAAACTTTTTATAAATGGAAAATAACTCAGAACGATTTTTCATTAAATAGGTCCAAGTGCAATGGGAAAAATCATCAATAAAGGTAACGAAATACCGAAAACCTAAGACAGACAAGGTACGACTTGGACCCCAGATATCTGAATGAACAAGAGAGAAAGGGGCATCAGCTCGTTTATTGACTCGACTGGCAAAAAAGGAGCGTGTATGCTTCCCTTGTTGACATGACACACAATCTAAAGACTGAAGACCGGACAAAAGAGGAACCATTTTCTTCAACTTTGAAAGACTTGGATGACCAAGGCGACTGTGGATAAGTTGTGGAGATTCGGTGAGAGAGCATGCTACTGAAGGACGAGGCACATCCAGATAATAAAGCCCCCGTGACTCACGACCCACTCCAATCATTTTCCCCGTACCCGGATCCTGCACAGAAACAGAATGGTTAGAGAAAGTAATGGTGCAAGTGAGGGAGTGGATCAACTTACTAATAGAAATTAAGTTATAAGGGATGCCAGGAATGTAATAGACAGATGTCAGGGCCAAGGTAGAGGTCGGACGAGCTTGTCCAATCCCACGAACTGGGGCTTTGGTTCCATCCGCAAGGGTAAAAGACGGTAAATGATCAGAATAAGTAAGAGATGTAAAGAGTTCCTTATTACCACAGAGATGATCGGTAGCACCGGAGTCAAATATTCAAGTGCCAAGTGATGTAGAATGAGAAACACAAGCAAAGGGATTACCAGTATAAGGCTGAGACTGAGGAGAAGCCTTCCTGAGAGGGGTTTGAAGTGCAGCATAGTCCGAACCTGAACCAAATGATGCATTGTCTGACTGAGCTATATTTGCAACAATAGAAGGAGAGTTAACCTCCGAGAGATCAGGAGATGCTGCTGCCATTTAAAGATAAAATATAAAAGTCGTAAACGAAGGCAAACGATATCCAATCAAAAAGAACCACGCGTCTAAGGTCAGACCCACAGAGAAACAATCACAGATCCAGAAAGGGGAGGAGAAGGCGAGCTTCTCTGTCCAAGACCGGCCGGAAAAAGCCGCCGGAATAGTGCTCACGCGCCGGCAGAAGGTGGCGTGTGAAGCCCACGCGCAATGAAGACAGGTGGCGCGTGACGGCGCGTGGGAGATGCGTTGCTGACCGGACCACCACAGACCTGGTCGCCGGGAAGAAAGGGTCCTGATCGCGTGAAGTTTGGTCGGAAAAGTCGCCGGAAAAAGTCTCCGGTTGCCTGAACAGTGATTCTGACGGCGGGCGGTGGTTCCGGTGGCCGTCGGAGGTGCTGACGCGTTTGGAAAAATTACTCAGAGGCTGTTTACAGCCCTAGAAGGTTTGCCGGAAGGACGCACGGCAAGAAAGAGGACTCCTAAGCAGTGGGCTTAGGTTTTTAAAGCAAAAAAAAAAAGGTTTCTGAGCGGAAGCGAAGGTTCCTAAAACGAAAGAGCTCTGATACCATGTTAAATGTAAAAGAATACGTTGTGTATTGATCTGTGTCAGGGAGTTACAATATATAGAGACCCTAATGGGCTTAAGTGTAAGGCCCAAACCTAATCCTAATACAGTCAGAATACAGTCAGACTATTTACGGATAAGACAGAATCCAATCATATCTAATCATATCTAATATTCTAACAACAACATAAAAGCATTTTCAAGAGTTGTATTCACCAAAAATAATATCAACTAAACAATGGGATGCTTGCTTGTGAATGAAAAGTTAGGGGTCACAACCCATGAAGTGTGGAAGCAAAATGCTCAAACCAAGCACGAGGGCATGTTTAGGACCAATAATTGCCTTCTGCAACTTACAAACAATACTCTTGCTTGAAACCTCAAATCTAAGGGGCGAACGATATACGCCTCTCCTTCGAGAAGCTATTACAGTAAAACTTTTCTCCTATTGCAGCACTACAGTACTGCACCTCATAGAATAATATTGTTACACCTTGCAGTTAGGTAGCTAAGCCTACCTGGCTTTCTGTGTAACAACTCGGAATAGCTACAAAAAGTTCAGTTAGTTTAGTTGAAGCTTGCTCTGCAAGTTATGGGCGTGCATGACAACGTTCCCAAAACAATTTTTTCTTTTCTTAACTTCTAGTCTGTGAAACAAAAATGGTTAGATGTTGTGTTTGATAAAATTGGTTTTTTTCCTATTCTAGAGTGTAAAGAACAAATTCAACCCAAAACTTTAAAGTGTTGGGTGAGGACCTTTTTAATGGCTTATATTATTCTCTAGCACACTGGCTCATGCAAGAGCCATTTGGGCTTGAAGCGTGGATATTGCACAGGCCCAAGTTTTTATTTACCTTGTGCTTATTTAATTCCACTAGAAAGTGGGGAGATATGAGGATCGAACTCATGACCTTGTGATCACTGAAGCTTTGATACCATGTAAAAAACCAATTCAACCCAAAACCAAGGTGTTAGGTGAAAGCCTTTTTAATGGTTTATATTATTCTCTAACATAGAGAATGAACTGGTAGCCCAACAACAAAAATTGAAAAAAAAAAAAATCCAAAAAAAAAGATCCCCAAGTGCTAATTCGAATACATAAATTATATAAAACGGAATTTATGCCTAGCATACCAATAAACTTACCTCAACAAGTTTATCTTCTTCTGATGTACACACTTGAACTGACTGGACAATGCATGAGCTTAGGCTGGTAATTGACTTATTGAGAGAGAGTCTACAAATTGATCCTGGCAGAAGATACTGAACCATTGGTATAGATGCATGATTGAAGCAATCATTGAAAACCACAAGACGAGGGTTGCCAGAAATGAAACTCTTGATCAATTTTATTGTATCAGTGTGACCAGCACTGCAAATAGTATTCAGCCCATCAATAACCTATTATATGCCAAAACAGTAATTAGTCAAATGATGATAAATAGATAAATTACAACAAAGAGAAGTTTGAAACCAAGTCATATACAATACAGGTAGTACTTTATTTATAGAAACCCATATGCCAGCACATACAGTAATTTTCATATTAAAAGATGTTTATAATTTTCACTCAATTCCCAAATATAAGAATTTGGCAAAAATAATAACAAATTATGCACAAATGCTAATCTTAAATCAACAAGACAAATGTTAATCTTAAATCAACAAGAGAAATTACATGGCAAAAGCGAACACAACTCAGTACAAATTTATCACCTAAATATAGCAATGTATTTAAGGATAAAGTTTGCAATCTCCTTAACCCTCACCTTTTATTTCTAATACTTTAATTGCTTCATTGATATCTTGTATGCGCTAGAATAGGTTATATTATGGATTGTTTGAGTATATTAATAAGCTTTTCATATATCAAAGCTTGTATGAAATGGAAACAAACAAGAGGGAATTTACAAAAATTTATCATACTCAATTCGTTCCCCCCTCTTTGAGCATAGAAGCCACATTCCTTATACTCCAGACATCTTGGAAGAAACAAGCAAGCGAGCGCGGAGACCCATTGATACACCTATGGATTCCAAAATCAAACTTCTACTCGGACAAGGTAAGAAGTTGTTGATCCTAGTTGTTATTGAAGGCTAGTCACGAAATCAAATTATCTCACATTAACTAGACCATACATTTGCTGTGAGCGTGTTAATTTCTTGATTCTGTGTGACTCTCACTGAGATGTTGTTGCAAGAATACTTCACCGAGATGTTGTTGCTAGAGTACTTTGATACATCAAAGGAACACCGGGTAGAGGTTTACTATAAGAAAATAAAGGGAATACGAAGATTTGTGGTTATACAAATATTGTATAGGAAGGCTCTTCCTAAATTCTTTATAAGGAAAGTAACTACTCAAATTAGTGTATACATTGTAAACCGCTGTACATAAATAATTAAGCAATAATATTAAGTATTCTATAGATTTCAACTTGGTATCAAAGCTCACAATATAAGAGACTCAACTTCTGTAAAACCCTGTGTGCCTTTGATACAAACCTTAGAGGAGCCTAACCTCAAAAGCTAACTTATAATGTAGGAGAGCCCAAAGTCTATATATACCTCACGCCAAAACATTATGTTTTCGATATGGGACTCCAAGTCCCATACCTTGCAATTGGATCGTAACATCCCACCATGATCGCAACCCCGACGCCCATAGGGCTAGCTTGGCACTAGTTTTTTCTAGGCTTGGGCGAACACTGCAATGCAAATGCCACCAGCCACGTCGCTTGATTGCAATTGGGAGACAAATGGATCTCTAATACCAATTGATACGAACTTTGGTAGAGCCTCACCCCAAAAGCTAACTTGTAAAGTAGGAGAGCCCAAAGTCCATATAAACCCCGTACCAAAACCTTATGTTTCCGAAGTGGGACTTCAAGTTTCATACCTTGCAATTGGATCGTAACAACCTTCATTACAATTGACCCTTAAATTGTGGCCCATTTTTTTTTACCTATTGTTTGAGCCTTCATCGCGCTAGTATCATCCATTGTCACAGCTTCACCGGCCAATTTCACCCCCACCCCCCAAGCCACACTCGTCATTCCCAAAGCATCCAACCACTAGCAATCTTGCCACACACTTTTATGAGTTCCCCCTTCTTCACTCACCAACGTGCCGCAACCCAAATTGCCCAAATTGCACGGGGTGTAAAACCCTCTAAATCCTAAATATATTTTTGGGATTAAACTAATTAGCTTACTAATTTATTTTATTATCACAAGGTTCTTACATGATTTTTTCAATATTTTACAAAGTACCGAAGACTTGAGTGCTAAGAAAATAAAAATTTAGTACCATTTAAATATAGTTTAAGCTCAAAAATATAGTAAGGAAATATTAAAAATTAATACAAAAAATTTTGGGACTAGGACTAGTTCCCTAAAACACAAGACAAGGATATATATATATATATATATATAGAGAGAGAGAGAGAGAGAGAAAACAGTTGAACTCGGATGCTTGCATGGCAGCTAATAAGACCCTGGCTGATGGGACCCATAGGAACCAGGTACTTCATTATAGAAATAGGAATAAACCCCAATTATATATATATATATATATATATATATATCTGAATCACTTAAAAAGCGAAAGATAGAACACTGCTAAACTTGCAAACCTCCCTGTCCAAAGGCCCTTGAACTCACTCAATGGCTAGACGATCCTCTCCCATACCTTTCCCTCCCTTTAATCTTAAATTCCAACTGTTTCCCCTTCCTTCCCACCCTTCGTTGTTACAACCCAAATCCTCCTATGCCCTTTACTCATAATTCCCATGTGGTCTAGCATAGACATTCCTAACACAGAACAACAATCAGAGACAAGTAAGATGAAAGCATTAGAAGGTGAACAACTACCAAATGCATCATAATAATACGACAAAAGTACGAGAAGGGACAAAATTGAAAATTAGAACATATAAACCATTCGGAATGTGCTTGCAAGTTCCCCTATGTGATAAGTTGAATAGATAGAAGAATACTGAGTGGAACTAAATCATGAAAGTTTGTATTCTCATATTTCAACCTCGTGGTTGCTTGCTGTCAAAAATTATTTAAAAGATAATAACAATGACTAAGTATAAGATGATAATTAAAGGAAGAAGATATATCGGACATTGGAAAGAAAAGCTACCAGCACAGAGACACCAGAAATATCAACGGCCTTCATGGAAACAAGCTCCAAAAGCCTCTCAGGAGTAGAAACAAGAAACTCAGGCTCACAACTTTTCAGACTGTTGAAGACAAAACAAATGTTGAATAAGAAGCTGATTACCATAAAGTGAAAGATGTGAGAAAACAATAAAAAAGATACGAGATTTCTTGTACATGCTCAAAATATTCATGCAAACAAGGATCTTGTCCTGTCAATCCTTGAAATTGCCTACTTATTCCCGAAATAGGGACATGTTTCTTCTTGCATTGTCATTTGCAAATTAAAGGTTCTCTCAAAGGTAAAAAGACATTCATTTGAACTGCAGTCATTACTATAAAAAAATATCAAAATCTTGATTTGCAGGCTTAAAATCCACAAAGGAACTCCCTTTCAGTATATTTTTTTTGTAATGGGGTTTTCTTATTCTAAGATTAGTAGCCAGTTATTTTACATTGGCCAGACTTCATACACAAGATATTTCAAGAGTAATATGAGTAATTGAGAAATTAATGATAGGGTCTGTTTGATTGTGTTCTGTGTTTTCATCTTCTTACTCCTAATGAGATGTACTTTCTCCATAAACCCAACTGGAAATTTATGATTCCCCAGTCACATTGTTTGTGATGTCATAGTCCCACATCTTTTACTATTCCTACATTCATCATATAATTGTAATTATTATAAATATTTTGTTTCCATTGATTAGCCATTATTTTAGGCAAGTAATTATTTAGTTACCTAGAATTAGCTCTTTATTAGGAAAGCAATTATGCTCGGAAGTCTATATATTGCAAACCTATGTACATGATTATTCAAGCAACAATATACACATTGCCTCATATTTCAACATGGTATCATAGCTCCTGATTTGGGAGACTCTGCTTCTGCTAAACTCTAAGTCTGTCTTCATTGTAGCCATTGGCCTTCAGTGCGCTTGAAAGCCACTAGTCACTGTCCCATTGCCAGCTCCCTATGTACATGATTATTCAAGCAACAATATACACATGGCCTCATATTTCAACTTGGCATCGTAGCTCCCAATTTGGGAGACTCTTCTTCTGCTAAACCCTAAGTCTGCCTTCATTGTAGTCATTTCTTTCACCTTTTTGCGGCCTTTTATCAGGGTCTTCAGTGCTCTTGAAGGCCACCGGTCACTATCCCGTTGCCGGCTTTTTCGCATTGTGCAATGGATGTTGTTATTTGGTGTCTATAGTTGGAAGAAAATCTAGAACTTTTGAAATGAGTCATTTACTACCTTGGCATCTTCCAAGGGAAGATAATAGTTTTGGCTTCCTCATGGTATGTCCAAAGGGGTTTCTTCTCACATATATAAAGAGAGATTGGCAAGTGTTGCTTAGTTCATTTGTCTTTTTGTTGTTGTTTGGGTTCGGAGTGTTTTGGCTTCTTTTAGCCGGATATCTTATCATCCATAGTGCATTTGTCTTTCTTCTCACATTTATTGGCCGACCCCCTGAAAATGCTATACTGCTATAGCAAGTAGGGGTATAGCACAACAGCAAAGTCCTGTGCATAAACCCTCTAATATAGATAAACTACACATATAAATGCTCAAAAATAAAGACATTTATTTTTAACAAATAATCGTAACACAATGTGTTTTAACAACTTTTACATTTTAAACGTACAATGTCATGCCATTGCTAGTATTACAAAAAAAGAAAAAGAAAATAAAATCAACACAACTCAATAAAAAGTACAAACATGATTTGCCTAATATCTTAACCAAAAAGAAAAAAGAAATTGCAATACTTGTGGAATGCATCTTTAGCCTCTCCCTTCATCCCTTTCCATTCGGAACACTTCCCCAACAAACACAGCGCCTCCGAGTTAATATTCTCCCATCCCACCGCCTCCACCAAGTCTTCCACCACCTAATCAACTCGTTGCCACATATTCAAGGCCATCTTCAGCTCTGCCCTGTTGACCAGCGCTCTCCGCAGCAGAGGGTGACTTCGCAGATGGCAAGTTTATGTGTGGAATCAAGGGACCTTAGAGTGGCGACCCATAAGGTGGAGGGCTCTAGCTAAAGGGATATGAGCAGAGGAGTCCTAGGCGAGATGGAGAGGACTTGGTCTTCTACAATTAAAGTGCTCCAGCATCGCAACGTGATTTCAACTGCTATAGCAAATCGTAATATCGCATAGCAGAAATCGCGGTGACCCTCTGTTACGCTCGATGGAGCACTATAGCGCGTTATTGATAACTATGTTATCATCAACTGAAGTACTCTCCTACTTTGTTTCTTTAATATATTTTCATCTTCTATCAAAGAAAGCAAGCACACACTCATACAAATTAAAACAACTTACATGCACTGAATCTGCCCTCACGTATAAATTTGCACATGCACATGCACATGGGAAAGATTCAAGATAAAAATGTCAACAATTTATCTGTAAGAAATGTGACAAACATGTTCTTCTTGTTAGGGCTTAGATTGTTCTTGTTTCATTTAGCAGGATATCTTATCGTCAACTGATATACTCCCTCCCCTACATTGTTTCTTTAATTTAATTTCCTCTTCTAACAAAGAAAGCAAATGTACTAAAAAAAAAAAAAAAAAAGCAAGCACACATACATATTAAAATTACTTATACCTGCACTGCATCAGCTCTCACGTATAAATTTGCACATGCCATAAGAAAGAATCAAGGTAAAGATGTCTACAATTTATGTGTAAGAAATGAGACAAGGATGTCTCACACCAATCCTCGGTCCATACCATTCGATAGGCTAAAAATCAACCAGAAAAGACTCCAGATATCTTACCAAATAAAGCTTAATAAATGAGCATCAGAAAAGAATTACTTGCCAATAAACTTGGATAATAGAACAGCAGCATGCATTATCAAACAAAACAATCAGTAGAAAAAGTTCCCTAAGCTCTGAGCATATCATACCATTGTGGTCACACACATCATGCAATGAAAAACAAAGATAAAGTTTCAACAATTACCCTTCAATCTGATGATCTAAGGAAGCACCTGGATGGATACTCACTGTATGTATTCCTAGAGATTTTAAAGGCTTGCAAACTGTTCGAACCTGTGCATCAATTTCAGATTTTTAGAATCCAAGTTTCAACAAACAAGTCAAGAGTTTGTAATGGTCCACAGCAACAAGCAAAATTAGTGAAATTTGCATCCCTTTTATTAATCCTTATATCAATATTGCCTTTTATTAAATAGCATAACAAAAAGTCATATCATGAACTGTGGCTTAGTGGCATTTGCAAAAACCAATTCAACCCAAAAACTTAAGCTGTTAAGTGAAGGCCTATCGATGGTTTATATACTTCTCTAACACACCCCCTCACACGAGAGCCCACTGGGTTTGAAGGGTGGACAATGTACAGGCTCACCTACCTATGCTAAGAAATACCACAAGAGAAAGTGGGGGGGCGGTAAGGATCAAACCCGGAACACGAGGCTCTGATACCATATAAAGAACCGATTCAACTCAAAACCTTAAAGTGTTGGGTAAGGGCCTTTTTAATGGTTTATATTACTATTCTCTAACAGCATTCATACTAAATCACTAAATGAATAAGTACATAAATCTTCTCCATTATAGGGTGTTTAAATGTTTATAGGAGAATGAAATGCGACGCCACCCAATATATATTCTTGAATTTGACAGAAGCAAATTTGTAATCCCTGAAAATAAAGTCAAGCTTCAAATAATACAAAAAATAAATAAAAAATAACATCAAATTTAAAGACAATGATGGTAGGGTCCCATGGCTCAACTTCCTTTTGAGAATAAAAGGAGAGGAGGAGGAGGGAGGACATGTTGGTGGGTGCATGCGTCAGTATAGTGGTTTTTATCTAAGAAAAAAAAAAAGGAAAAAGAATCAGCAATGAAATTGAAAGCATGTAGAAGAAATTTATCTAACCTGGACAGCTTTTTCTTGGGAAGGTACAAGGAACAAAAGAAAGGGACTGACAAAGGATAAGCCTTGTTTCTCTTTTCTCACAAAAGTATCAGCTGCACCAGAAACCATCCATGCAATTTGCACAGTAGTAGCAGAAGATCCACTGGTCTCCATCAGATCTTTCCCAGTAGAATAACACTTTGAAAATTCTAATCCCCATGAGTTAAGAAAGAAAGAGTTGCCCTCTCCATCAGTGTAGGCATCACCATGACGCAATGCATTTTCAATTGAACTTAGACACCAATAAACAAACTTAGAAGGGAACTCTGAAATTTCACAATCATTCTGTTGGGCACCACAAAGATCAGGTATCTCAGTCCCCTTAATATTTTTCCTTTCTGAGTTAATAATACATTTCTGACCCAGATTATTGGTGGCTGTGACATACTCATTTTCCCTTTGTAAATGATTCAATTTCTGTGAAACATTCCCACCAACTGTTCCTTTCCTTTCAGGTGCACTCTTCCCATTAAGAGGAATCATCTCATCTTTTGGAGAAATTTTTTTCTTTTTAGGAACTATTGTTTTGAATTCTTTTTTTCCATATTGATCATTGAATGGATCATCTGGAGTAGGTAGACTAAAGCACATCCCCTGTAATATCATAAAAAAAAGTCAATTTACAATTCAACTATAGAAGAAATCAAAATGAATACAATTCTACAAACACTTATAACAATAATAGCACCAATGCATTCTTAACATCTTCGTTAGAGATGAATTTCTGAATTCCTTGAGGAAATCCTCAGCGTGACTAATTATATGTATACACACGATTTACAATCCCTAATATAAAGAAACTAGGAAATTGGGAAAATGATAGGAACCCAAAAACCCCTAACCCTAAAGTGTATTCTAGGAAGGGGTGTAGGGGTTACATTCCCACCCAAAGCATTAGGAATGTGACTCCACTTGGAGGGAAAAGCAGGTGCAATTGCTGAAAGGGAGGGAATCGGTTAAATAGGAGAGAGGAGAAGGAATAGGTATGGAAGAAGTTAGTAATAGAAGAGAGCTGAGAGAGACTGGCCTGTCAAATGCCAAATATCCCTTTTTATTTCCAGTTTTTCTTGTAATTTGCTATCTCATTGTAATGCTTAGTTCCACTACTGTTATAGATTAAAGTAGTAGATTTAATACAAACTCCCCAAATTTCCATCTCAATTATCATTACTGTTGTCTGGGTTCTTATCAAGTGGTATCGCAGCTCACGATCCGAGAGCTATGATATCCAAAATTAGAGATGATTCTAGAATCTACAGGCGAAGAAGCCTATTGGTGGCTGATCACCGTGGAGCAATATTTCAAAGCGGAAGAAACATGCGAAACCAAGAAGATTTTAGAAGCTGCAAAGTGAAGGAGTTGTTTCTGCCCAAACGCAACATGTTGGGGGACTTCTATAAGGTGGTGCTCAAGCGTTTTCAACTGGAGTTTGACCTAGATTTATACCTCCAAATTTCATCGAGGATTGATACCAAATTCAGAAAACCAAGTTCTTGACGTGCCTCATCAATGGTTAATAACCAACCCGGAAATCCCTCTCAACGACCTCAAGAGGAATCCAGGGTATCATTCTAGGCTCACATTCGGAAGAATCCAAGAGTTCAGTCCTTTCAAAATGAAGTAAGCTTGGGACGGTGCTTCTGATGATTCTCCTCTTAGTATAAAAGCGTTGTTGTTGACAAATACGGTTCAATGCTACTTATTGGGAAGCATTGCAAAGGGATTGCAATCCTTCGTACACTATAATTCTGTCATTTTCCGGAAAGGACAGAACCAATGCCATGGAATGCAATTCTATATAACAATTCAGTTTAGTTCAGAAAATGCCGTGAAACCAAACCACCCAAAGTGAAAGAAAAAAAAAAAGTTAAAAAAAATTAAAAAAAAAATAAGAAAAAAACGAACCAATGGCTTCAGAATAAATTAAAAAAAAAAAAAAAAAAAAACTGTAAGATCGTGAAAGAAAAATAGCATCCCCCGAACATAAATGATCAAAGAATAATGCAAAAGTAAAGCATAAGTGATGACATAAGAACAGCCAGAGTATGGAACTTAATTAGCCAAATCAAAAATTAAATAAAAAGAAACGCGTTTTATTCTATCAAGATAGTGTTCATTGCCAATAGAATAAAAGAAGAAATGAAAGAAAAAAAGAGGTACCTGGCACATGCGGCGTTTTCCGGCCTTGCGGCGCTTCTTGGCGGCGATAAGTGCGGCTACCTTTGCAGAGACAGAGGAAGAGTCATTCTTGCTTCTAAGCTTTTTGCAAATAGCTTTGTTCTTCTTCCTTCTCACAGCGTCGTCACCCTTCGCCATTGCTACCAGTACGGTAACCGTATTTAGCCAACACTGAGTGAAGTAGGAGGCTACCTATGTTTATTTGCTTCTTATACCAATAGGTTTACCTTGCGCTTCAACTGGGGATTTTTTATTTTTTTACTTTTTTCCTCTTTTTCTGAAAACAAAAATAAAAATAAAAAAGAAGCAAAACTATTATTCTCTTCAAGAATAAAGCAACGTCCTGTTGTGTTTTTCCAAGGAGGTCCAGCTTAATTTAATCTTTTATTAATGAATTTTTCTTTGAATAATTATGAGAAAAAATATTTTAAGATTGGGGAAATATGAGTTGTCCCATGAGTTGGGGATTATTTTTTCTTATTATATAATAATGGCTCTTTGACCAATGGAGGGCTATTAAATTTTTAATGTACCAATTTGGTATTTGATACATGATATTTACCAATAGGAGTCGCTTAGTGTCGTGCCCCCCCCCCCCCGACACTTGCACGATTGTGTCAAGTGGCACAATCTCGTTAATCTCGTTACCGTAAAACTTCGGAAGGCCGTAACTTTTGACTCAGCTGTCTAAATTAGATATTTTTTATTTTATTTTACATAACTTTTTGAGATCTACGCAATGACACCTCATTTTTTTCTCCAACTTTTTTTTTTCTTTTTGTTTTCTTCACAAAAACAAATTTTGAAATTAATTATTGTCTCGCACAGGTGCTGCTGCAACTATAACAGATAGAACTATTGTTGCAAAATTGAATTTGAATCTAAATGTTCTTGTGATTGTGGAACTATTGTTGCAAATTTGAACTTTATTTATGGAAGATAAAATATGTCAAATAAAATGTCATTGCGTAGATCTCGAAAATTTATATGAAATAAAAAAAAAATCTAATTTGGATACCGAGTCAAAAGTTACGGCATTCCGAAGTTTTACGATAACGGTACTAACGAAATTGTGTCACTTGGCACAATCGTGTGAGTGTCGCGGGGGTGGGGGGCAAAACTCAATGTCGCTGGGGTCCCCACAACACTAAACGACCCCTATTGGTAGATATCGGGAATCAAATATCAAATATAATAATAGTATTGAGATTCTAACATATAATCTCGTACAAATTATCTAAACCACTCGTCATTAGATAAATTTTAGTAACTTTGACTTAGGGATTAATTTGACACCTCTTTATTGAATAATCTTGTGTAATAGATTACATATTGGTTATATCGACTGGGGGATTAATCTCATCCTTCCTCCGATAGCGAAACTCAATGCACCCTCTGTTCTAATGAGGGGTAGGGTCGTATTCCGAGAACAAAGTGACCGGAGGAGGTTGAATTGGGATACCTCCAAATTATACCCAAAAAAAAAAAAAAAACACAAGCATAATAACATAAACACAAGTATTGAAATCATAAACCAACTTTTTATTACTGTATGGCTCCTTAGGCTTTGTTTGGGAGTTGGTTTTTGGAGGGGAAGGAAGGGAAGGGGAGGGCTTTATTCAATGTTATTAGAACCGGACCGGTCATTGACCCGGTCTAGGTACCGGGTCACTGGGTCAATGGTTCAACCGGTGGGTCACTAGTTGAACCGTATGAACCGGATATATATATATAAATTTATATTTTATACTTAATTATATATTAAATGGTGCCATCTACACAATAACCTGATGTAGTTTAGTGGTATTTGCTATGTTGTTTATCCTTAATGCAAGGGGTTCGATTCGAACCCCATTACATGCAGTTTTTGAAATAATTCTCTTAACTTAAAAGTTATATGATAAATATATTAAATGGTATAAATTATTCAACAAGTGATGGTGGCGTAGTGGTAGGAAACGGCTCTCTTTACTCCAAGGTAGTGTGTTCGAATCTCACTTGCTGCAAAAAAAGATTTTGTAACTAATTTTGAAAAACCGGTTTGAAGGGCAAACCGGTACCGGTTTACCGGTCGGACCGCGGTTTATGACCGGGTCAATTACTTAAGCGGTCAAATGTTATAACCGGACCGGTTTCCGGGTCAACCGGTTTTAATAACACTGGTTTTATTAATACATTCCCTTGTTTGTGAGTTTAAAAAAATGGAGGAAGGGAATTGGGGATTTTTGCAAAATTCTCCAAAACCCTTCTCACCCTTAAAATTAAAGTTCTCCCAATTTGGGGGTTTTCAGGGAGAAAATATTAAACATTACTTATCTATCCTTAGCATTAAAATGTAAAAACTACATAAATATGTATCATTTTTAAATGTGACATTATTAGAAAAGTCTCAAATATTGACAGAATTTATCGATGAAAAATATTTCGTCGAAAATAGTGACTAAATTTTTTACAATAAACACATTACGTCAAAAATAGAGACGAAACAATATTTGGCCATAATCACTGACATAAATTTTTTCGCAAAAAAAAAAACAGTTAAAATTCTTGATAGAATCTAAATTCTGTTGAAACTTTCAACAGAAACATTTCCGTCCAAATTTTTTGACAGAAAACAATTCCATAAAAAAAATTGTCCAAAATATTTTAGTCAAATTTTTTTACAGAAAACATTTCCATAAAAATTTTCAACGGAACACATTTCCAGTGAAAATTCTCAACGAAAAATATTTTTGTAAAAAATTCTGATAGAAAATTTTTTTTGTCAAAATTCTTTACAGAATCTAAATTCTGTCAAAGTATTTGACAAAAAAATATATTCGTCAAAATTTTCGACGAAGAATATTTCCCTCTAAATTGTTAATGAAACACAATTCCATTGAAAACTTTTCGTAAAAAGTTTTGACGGAAAACATTTCTATAAAAAATTTGACGAAAAAATTATTCCATCAAAATTCTTTAAAGAATCTAAATTCTGTCAAAAGTTTCAGAGAAACATTTTCCTCAAAAATTTTTAAAAATATATTTTCGTTGAAATTTTCATTGAGACACATTTTCATCGAAGATTTTGGACGGAAAATTTTTCGTCAAAATTTTTGAAGGAATTGTTTTTTCCATCAAAACTTTTGAAGGAATTTTTTTTGAAAATATTTAACAAAACATTTTTGTCAAACTTTTGACGAAAACTAAATTCTGAGGAGAAATTTGACTGAAAATTTATTTTTGTAAAATATTTGATCGGATAAAAATTCTATCGCCTTCGATGAAAAGTATTCCGACGAAAAAATATTTTTTTGACAGAATTTTTGTCGTTTTCAATGTAGAATTTTCGTTGAAAATATGAGCTATTTTAGTAGTGTAAAAATACATAAATAATTTTGTTTAGCAATTTGAAATTTAATTTTATTTGTAAAATATAATAATTATATTAATTTAAAAAAAAGGTAAAATTGTAAATTTCTCATTGACCTTCCAATTTCTCCCTTACTATTTTTTTAACTCCCAAACAAGGAAAGAGAATACCCTCCAAATTTCCTTCCCTTCCTTCCCCTCCCTCCCCCTTTGATCCCCTTCCTTCCCTTCCCCTCCAAACTCCCAAACAAAGCCTTAAGCGTTATAAATCGATATTATTCCCTTTATTTTCTGACCCTTACACATAAAAGGTTTTAGAGATGCGATAAGAGATATGCATATTGGAGAAGTAGTGCACTTTGTATTTGGTCGGACCAATACAACATGGGTTGACCAATATGTATCAGGCCTAATCACACACGGTTGATGTGAGAAGACTTTGGGTTGAGTTATCTGTTTACTGGGCTGTTGATAGTTGTTGATAATACGATGGGTATGATTCTCCTTTGGCACAATGATCCTGACTGGGAGGTACCTGCAATGACACTCTGATGCTCAAGTCATTATCAAAGTCAGGCTTATATGATATTCTTACTGAATTAGATTTTTCTACCTGGGTTTGTATCCTTTGTTTATATAGTGAGTCTGATGCCGCCTTCGACAGGCGGTGTGCCTTCTGATTGGCTGTTCATGGGCTACAAGTTCAGATGGTGCCTTTATGGCCTTATCTCTATTATGTCAAGCTATCTGGGTAGAGTGGTGGCAAGATGGAGTTGTCCTTCATGTATTGGTTTTGAGGTGTGATGGCTTCTTATGCGTGCTTTATTAACCTATTCCTTAACGTTGAAGTCATATTTAAGGCGGTTTGGGCGCGATAAAGCCATCGCGCCTCCAATCTGCGCGATATGGATATCGCACGTTGCTTGGGCCTTTATTTGTTTTGGCCTTTAGTCTTTGGGCTTTAACCCTTGGCGGGCCTATTGTATTTTATCCAGATTAGTTGCCCCTAGCTCGCAGCTTTGGTATTTACAAAGTTGTGAGATATATATCTTATGTGCGCGGTATGTCTTTAGCACGTTTTCATTTTGCATTGCATTGCAGTGTTCACAATAAAAGACCATCATTACCTTGCCATTTTGGGACGATTGATTGGATGTTAACTGTCAGGGGCATTTAATGCCACCGTAATTATGTGGGTGTATTAGTGACAAATGTGGGAGGTTTTAGGTTTCCTTTTGGTGACTTTTCGTATTTGTACTAAGCTACTTAGTTGGAAGAAAATCACTCTAAGCACTTATCTCTATTGTGAAAGCCTTCTTCTTCAGCATTCTGTTTCTGGTTAGCTCTCTTGGTGCTGACACGTCCTGCTCTTCTACTTCTTGTCCGAAGTATAAAACTCAGGTATGCTTCTGCTTTGGCTTTTATCCTTCTTGTTCTGATTCCTAGTTGTTTTTTCCTTTCATTGAGCTAGGGTATGTCTGATAATCGCAAGTTTATGAATTTTATCAGAACGGTCGAACGGTCTGACTCTACCAGTCCTCTTCTAAGGTCCTTACCTAGGTCGAGGTCGTTAGGGACCGGGGAATTGTGGCTAACTGGCAAGTGTACTGCCCCTGGAAGAAAGCTAAATTGAATGATAATTGTTCTTCTTTTCGATGTTTTGAAATTGGATCCTCATCCCAGAATCCTAATCGCGGGATATCCAAAAATTTGTCGCAACAAAGTTCATCACTTCTTCCTAAAACTCTGAACGGGATGGTTAATCCTATTTATATATCGAGTGATTCCAATTCGGATTCCAAAGTCTGC